GGGGCTCGATCCCAGGACCCTGGGATCATGACCTGAGCCGAAGGCAGACGCTTAACGACGGAGCCACCCAGGCGCCCCTCCCTTTTGATTTTAGAAAAATTTGTCGTTTGGTTTGATTAGACCTGGTTCAGCAAGCAATGCAAGCTTTAACAGACTTCATTTTTACTACAGTGTTATTCAACTCTGTTAAATCTTGAAACCGAGCTTTAAAAAATTACTCCCCAGGCTCAGCTGACAGTGTCTGCTGAGCGTTCTTAGGAAGGGGATGGTGGGGCACACGCTAGAAGCAGGGGACATAGCGTCTGGCCTACAGAGGGTGCTCAGTCGCTCCGGACACTGTCCTCAGTAGGGCCGAGCACTCCTTCTGCTCTCTTCTATCAGCCGTAAATCCCAGGCCGGCACTCGACCCGCTCTCCCTCAGCACCTGGGCTTTCCTCTCTGCCCCTTCCTCCTGGTGGCCTCTTCCCAGAAGAAGGGTGTCCTCCGGGAGCACGGGCTGGGGCCACCAGTGCCCCTCTGCCACCTCTGCTCATACCTGGGCGGTTTCCTCCCTTGGCGAGCCCTGGGCTCCTCATCTCTTAAGTGAAGACAAAAATACTGTTTTGAGGATTATTTTTGAGGTATTGTGCATGTCCTGAAGATAGACTGAATAGATGTGGCTACAAGTGTCACTCCTTCAGAGCCCACCCAGAAGCCCCCACACAATGGAGCACCGCCCCCCCCCCGCGCCCTGAGCCCCAGGCCTGCCCTGCTCCCAGGGAGGTGTCACTCCGCTCTTCCGGGACCACGCATCTCACCAGGATGGGGACCCTGGTGCACAGGGGTCCGGGAGTCCGGGGCTGGGAGCCTCAGGTGCCAGTGGTGATGAGCGTTCCGTGCGGTGGCTGTGAGGGTTCTGCGTGTGAGTGAAATGGCTGGGGGGGCCTGCATCGCCATCCTGATAGCACACTCCTGTGCCACGAGGGTGGAGAGGGTGCTTGCCCCACAGCTCTCAGCTTGGCCCCCGACACCATGTGCGTGGTCACACAGTCGTCGTTGAACTGGGGTAATTCAGGAAAAATCTTATCTCCTTATTTTAGAACAAACTCACGATGTTGGACATTGCATCAAATAGAATCAAAAAGATTGAGAACATCAGCCATCTAACAGAGCTGCAGGAATTCTGGGTAAGTGGATACATGCTGGGGTGGATGTTGCTTCTGTTGAAATGGTGCCTCGGAGCGGGGTGCCGTGAGCGAGGGCGGGGGCGCCGGCCGGGAGCCCCCAGGAGGGTGAGGGGGGCGGGCACCGTCTCGGAGTTGCGTGTTGGCTTTGTGCGTCGGCGTCACCCAGGAGCAAAATCTCAGGCCCCACGTTACTCCACATGGGAGACCCTGGAATTGCCAAACCGGGAGCTTGGCCGGGAGCTCGTGCGTTCAGTGTGGACATGCCCCACAGGAGAAGTCGGCTGGGTTTGTGCAGTCCGTCCTGGGCTCCGCCGAGTCTTCTCTGATGTGTGGTTTTGGGGAGTCGTATCACAGAGCCAATAAGAAGCAACAGGAAGAGAAACAGAATGAAGGAAGTCTTAACTTCTTGACTCCACTAAAGGCATTGCAGAATGATCCCTGAACTGAGACCCTCCACATCAGATCCCATAGGCGTGTGTGCTGCCCGTCCCCAGGCTGGTGGCCCCGCAGGGATCCCTGCACACTCTGACCCTGTGATGCTATGAGCTGAGTGTTGTCCTGGATGTGCTCAGTCTGACCAGGATTCATGCTGAATCTAAGGCGGGATCTGTCCTCGTCTAGCCATGCTGTTGACCCTGCTCACATCCTGTATGGTCTTCTTTTCTCATGAACATGTCCCAGCCCCTCATTAATAGCACTGGGTCTTAGGTAGTGTCCAGTTGTGATGCCACAGCAGATCTGGGGACACCAGACCCAGAATTAGAGAGGTAGGAAAGAAAAGGGTCTCAGGCCAGGGGCACCAGCGAGCCACCGTAAGCCCAGTGGGTCTAGTGTGCAGCCCACCCCTGCAGGAAGGTGCAGCTGGGGATAGGCTGCTTGGATCAGAGAAAAGGGGTTTGGCTCTGAAGAGGCCAGGGAACCACACAGAGGAACCCAGTGACAAATGAGGAACCCAGTGGCAGAGGGCCTGGGTGACAGGGACACCAGCTGATCCTGAAGCCATGTTTCTGAAACATGTGATTCCTTCTCCGTGCCCTGCCAAGGGACAAGAGTATGGGACATGGGGTGCTGAGACCACAGGTAGGGTCCGGTGGGGCACCCCGGCCATCAGGGAGGCGGGCAGGCTGGCAGTTGCTCGAAGCTGGAGCTCTGTCTTCTGATCTCCTGATCATAGCAACCCTGTGAAGCAGGCGGGATTGTGCGTTCCAGGAGGGGAGGTTGCAAACCAGGAGCTCTCAAACCCTTCTGTACTCATATGGGGTGTGCTTAGCTGTTAGCTAGTCTCTGAAGGAGAAATGGGAAGCCAGTCCTCATAAACTTTTAATCACCCAAATTCTGTGTTTATTGATGTTCTGTTTGTTCTGCCAATTACCAACAGAAGGTTGTTGAAATATCCCGTCCATACCTGTGGATTTGCTTTCTCCTGTCAGCTCCATCAGCTTTTGCTTCTTGTATTTTGAAGGTTTTTATTAGTTGCATAGACATGTAGAATTGTAGTGTCTTCTTGAAGCGTTATCTTTTCATCATATGGAACGTCCCTTTTCTTCACTGCCCTCTGTTTTTGTTGTGAGGTCTACCTCTCTGTGTTAATCTGGCCACTCTCTTTCTCCTGATTACTGTTTCCATGGGTATCTTTTTCCATCCAGTTACTCAACCTGTCTTCATTCATAATAAGTAGAATGTATCTCTCTAAAACAACATAGGAGTTTCACTTTTTTTATCTAGTCTGACCCATCTCTGCCTTCAAGCGAGGCATTTATCCTACTTATATTTAATACAATTACATTTACTTGCAGTCTGTGTCATGGTTGGGTTTAAATCTGCCATCTTGCTATTTGTTTTTTATTTGTTCCTTTATCTCTCTTTTCCTGCCTTCTTTTTAGATTGGGAAAAACGGTGTTATTTTGGGGATAGTCCATTTTATTTCCACTGTTGACATATTTGCTTATATCTGTGTGTTTGACTTTTAGTGACTATTCTAGGAATCACAAAGTATATTTTTAACTAACCGCAGTCTGCCTTCAAGTAATATTACAGCACATCACATATAACGTAAGGCCCTTCCAGGAGCACGCTTCCTTTCCTCTCCAGCAGCTAATATTGGCTTATGTTTTACTTTTAATAGGTTATAAACCCCATGATATGTCACTGTATCAGTTATCTTTTAAGGAAATTAAATTTTTTTTTTTTTTAGAGAGCGTGCACGTGGGTGGGGAAGGGCAAAGGGAGAGGGAGAATCCCAGGCAGGCTCCACGCTCAGTGCGGAGCCTGACCCGGGGCTCGATCTCACGACCCTGAGATCATGACCTGAGCCAAAACCAAGAGTCAGATGCTTAATGGACTCAGCCCCGCAGGCACTCCAAAGGAAATTTAGTAACAAGAAAACCCACCTGTTTTACCATTTCTGGCGTGTTTTAGTGTTCTGTATAGTTTGCACTGTAGCGTTTCCCTCCCACCTGAAGAATTCTAGCATTTTTATTGTGCAGCATGCTGTGAGCCTGTTCTTCCAGCTTTGATTGCTCTGGAGAAGCCTCTTTGCTTTGCTTTCATTCTTGACAGTACGGATGCACAGCGTGCTGGGGGCTGCCTTCCATCACTGTGAACTCGCCCCGGGGGCCCCGGTTCGAGCTGTTTCTGATAGGAAGTGGTTCGTCATTTTTGTCCTTGTTCCCTTGTGTGCAATGCGTCTTTCTCCCTCCAGCTGCTATTTTATGTTCTTTTTATCACTTGTCTTTCTTGCCACTTGCATGTCATGTGCTATTGAGCTTTTTGGGTCTATGAATATATAGTTTTCAAAGTCAAATGCAGAAAACTTTTGAAAATAATTTCCTCAAAAAATTTTTCTGCCCCTTCTTCCCCCAGTTTCTTCCTAAAACTCCCAGTGACGCGTATGTTGTCCAGCGCTTGGCAGCGGGGCTGCCAGCTTTTATGTTGCGTGCTCCCGTTTGTATGACTTCTGCTCCTGTGTCGGAGACGTCATGATCTTCTCTTCTGCAGTGTTCATGTGCTGTTAAGCTCATGTACTCAACTTTCTCTCTCAGATGTTGTATTTTTCAACTCTAAAAAAAATTTGGTTCTCTTTTTGTAGATTCTGTTTCTCTCCTTATGTGTGTGTTTCCCTTAAAGCCTTTCTTTTTCACATGGCTCGTAATTTTTGTATTTGCTATTGGCCATTAGGATGGTAAGTTATTGGGGATGCTTGACTGGCTCAGTCATGAGAGCATGAGACTCTCATCTCAGAGTTGTGAGTTCAAGCCCCATGTTGAGCTTAGAGATTACATAAAAATAAAATATCTTAAAAGAGAGAGAGAGAGAGATGTTCAGTTATTGACTCTCTGGATTTTTGTTGTTTTCCTTTAAAGTGTATTGGACTTTTTATCTGGCAGACGGTTGAGTCACCCCTTGATCCTTTTGAGACTTGTTTGCAGCTTTATCAGTGTGAGTCTAAGAAGCCTGTCCTCGAAGCCTTCTCTGCTCTGTTTCTAGGCTGTGATCCATCCTGGGCATCTAGTGAATGCCCCGGGCATTTAGTGAGGTCTCTGCCTCTGGTTGGTGGGAGCACGAACATGTCCTTTCCCTGCATGAGCTCGGGCCTTGTCCAGCTCCTGGCCTGTGGTGGCTGCTCCTGGGCCGATCCACACTCAGCTTTCAGTCTGAGATTCCAGGGGACAGTAGGTGCACCTCTGAAGCTTTTTCCCTACATAGCTCACTCCTCTCCAAGAACTCCAGCTATTTCTGCCTCCCCAAACTACAAGCCCTGCCTCAACTCAGAGTGGCCAGCAGGCTGTGCTTGGGCTCCCCTGTGGTCCACAGAGGGCCTCCAGGCAGAAGGCCATGTGGGCACAGAGCTCCCCTTCCTTGTTTTCCTGCTCTCGGGAGTCCCTGTCCTGTGTTGCCCGTTGTCCGACATACGCAAACCGCGGTTTCATGTGCTTTGTCCTATTTTCTAGCTTATTACAGAAAGGCAAGTCCAGCTCCAATTACTTCCTCCCTTGAAGTAGAAGTCCTGTCTCTTTACTTACTTTCATTTTTCTATCTCACTCACCTAGTGCAGTGCATAAGCTTCATGAGGGCAGAGGAATCTATTTGCTCACTCTTACATCCCGGCCCCTAGAACAGTGCCCTGCACACAAGAGGCTGAGTGAGAGAAAGGAACTTCGGAGGGGAAGTTGGTTAGTTGGACAGAGACCAACTGTAGATACCATTGGAAAACATGCTTGTGCAAATATGTGAGCTAAAGGTTAATATCCATATATTAAACACAGCTCATCCAGAGGTGCCACAGGAAAACAGGAGGGTAGAGAGGCACCCAGGTGGCTCAGTTGGTTAAGCGTCCAACTCGTGATTTCAGCTCAGGTCCTGATCTCACAGGTTGTGGGATCGAGCCCCACGCGGGCTCCACACTCGGCAGAAAGTGTACTTGGATTCTCTGTCTGCCTCTGCCCTTCACCCCGCTTGTGCTCACTCGCTTGCTCAGTCTCTCTCTAAAATAAATAAAATCCTAAAAAAAAATGGGGTAGAGCATGAACAGGCAAGTCACGGAGTAAGAAGTAACAGTTGCTTGTAAATGCATAAAACATTTTCTATTTCGTTAATTTTTAAAATACACTAAAACAGTGAGCTGTGGCGTTTGGGCTTCAGGCTGGCAGAGCCTTTGCCGGAATGTGGTCTGTGCTGCGGCAAGTGCCCCCTGGATACGCTGGCGGGACTCGCGTCAGCACACGGGGCCTGTGCAGTCTTCAGGGCCTCGAGACCCTAACAAAATGATGAGAAATTCAAAGATTTATGTACAAAATACGTAACTATCAGGATTTGTTGTTTTACAATGGCAACAGCTTAGTTGTATTTTCTAATGATAAAGTCTATCTGTTTATTGTAAAAAAGAAAAAGATCAGATTAGAAAGAAGAAAGACAAATCTGTCTTTTCCTTGTTCTTCTGTGTTTGGTGTCCAGTTTAGAAAAGATTATAAACCCAAAGCTTATAAAAACAATCACCCAGA